GAGGATTCATTTAACGCATCCATTAGCATGGCACATATTCAAAATCCTCCAATGGCTATTTGTTAAATGTTGCAGGTTGAAGAGCAACCATTTGCAAAAACCGGGACTTATAGGTATGATCCATTAATTATACTTTTTTGGAGCATATTAAGGACTACATTTTCTGAGAAGATCTTATGATATATTCTCTAATACATCTAGTCATGTTAACTGTATGTTCTCAACTCTTTGTTGTTCTATCACTTCAAAATGGTTGTTCAACAGTTCCAGCAGTGCATATCTGCTCGTGTACAGAGGTAAGATCAGAATAGTACATCAAGAAAGCATTAAAGCGTGGGATATTAACAGATTATTGATTAACGTTGATATTTCCCTCCACTTTACACCCTCAGAAAGTCTCAAAGACGAGGGGAAAGACCAAAGAGGAAGGATCCATGATGACAAAGAAAACAGGCATGAGAGCCAAGATCAAGACAGACAAATACAAATCAGCACAGATACAAAGAAACCGAAGGATCAGACAAGACATGAAAAGGTTTCAACTTTCAAAAACGGAGACGTTCTCCCCAAACAAAAAACAGACGCAAACAATGTGGAAATCGTCATGGAAGATGATCTCCCCAATCCAAAAACAAGCAAAATGGAGGTAGAGGAATGTGAAACGACAAAGGGTATTAACATTTCTGATCCTTCTTTTGGTTTGCAGTTTTTGAAGAGTTTGTTGTAGTAAATTCGCATCTATTTTATCTTCCCACCAGATAAGGATCGTCAGCCGCCCAGCAATCACTTCTTTGGCATCAAGAGGAATCATATTTATATTGCTCTCGGCGCTATTGCATCCATTCTCATTGTGATTTCTGTCGTACTTGCAACAACTCTAAAAAACTAGTAGGGATGTCAGCTTTGAAATGTCAACCAGCTCCACCTCAAGCTATCAAGGTGCTGATGAAGAGGCGATGATTCAACATTCAAACACTAGTTGGTAAATTGATGGTTAAGGAACATGATTAGGTATCTCTAAATGTGAAACAATATATCATAACGTTGTATTTACTGTTATGTCCTGTTTTCTCAGTATGCTATTTTGGTGTCAGATATTTTAAGAAACCAGCTGATAAACTATGAATGAATCAGGCCCACAACAAATAATGTTCATGACTTTGCTTTATGTAGTATAGATCCATATACTATCTAAATATTATACATCAGCAAGGATTTTGGAATTGTCTGCAATCTTTTTTTAAGTATAAATGGATGGAAGTTTGCAAAATGGCCAAATGCGTGGTGTACCACAGGGGTCTGTTCTTAGACCGTTTATTTTCCGTTTACTTTGATAAGGTGCAATATGATTATACTATCTTACCGCTTTAATCTTCTTACAGACTTATTTCACACGTATAAAAGTCAAAAGTGTATCTGTTGCACAAATGATTTATTTTAAGCTATTTTTATTTAGAGTCCAAATATATGATACGTGTTTGTTATGTACAATGTGTGGCTCAGCCCAGTTATTGCCAACAACATTTTTGTCTACCACATCCAATCTAGTATATCATATTACATCGTAACTCCTTCACAAACCTTTAGTAGAATGGAAGACAATGATTTCAATCCAGTGTCTTTAACTATTTCTACCTATTGTGTTTTGGGGTTTATTCTTTTGTGACATGTAAAATACCAAATAAAGCTAAACAAACTCGCCTACTGACATACTAGTTTGGCTTGCTGTTTGCATATACTGTTCTGCATGCATTTCTATCAGGTTTGTAACCCGAGTCACTTAGCATTTCGTACAAGGTCACGATCGAATAAAGATAAGGCATCAAAAGCTGGTATTTAAACTATTCAGAAGTGTGGTAAGCACCCGTTTAACTGCTGGCAGAGACTAGCTGCCTGTCAGCCAAGGATACAGGTTTCACCCAAACAAAAAAACTTGTGTTATTTAACCCCGCCATACTGCATTTTTTGTAGTAGTCATGAGCTTGGTAGTTTGTTAGTAATTGCAGATTACTTTAGACCCCAGAAATAAAATGCTCCAAACTGCATTAGCATATTAAGGACATTTATTTAAGCGTAAAACAAAGAATAGAGGACATATGCAAGCACAAAAGCTTAGTTTTTTACATTACAATCTTCATATTTTTTGGTTTTAAATGATGGTCATTGTTGTTAAGAGTCTTTTTTTCTCTCCTGCGTCTTCATCCTATTATGCCTCCGGGCAGCATAAGCAGCGTATGGATGGTGGACATGTGTCGGATCCCGTAGGATAACAGCAGGGCAGACTCCTCCAGCTGCTCAGTTCTGTACACCATCCGGATGTCTGCATCTGAACAGGAATTAAAATTAAAAACAGGGCTTGCTACAACAGTTGTTAAACTAAACGCATGCATCTGCAATTTTATGAGCCTATATATGCATTAATACAAACATCTTCATATAATAAAAAGGAGAAACTTACTTATCTCTAGTTCTCGAGTAATCTTCTCTCTCAGCTGCTTTACAGTGATCTTCTTTAAATCCTCGTCATTTTCGCACACATCGATGACCTTTTCCTCTCCTCTGGGTCCACTTACTCTGAGTTGAATTGTCATTTTCGCAAATGTACCCGATGTGCCAGTGAGGAGTATGTGTGGTTGTTTTGGTTCAGTGATGCAAACGCAAATGTAACTCAAAGATTGAGGTGGGAGGTGTTTATGTTTTTTTTTTTAAAGGCGTGTTCATGGTGCGACTGAATATCATGACTCATTAGGTGAGAATGATCATCTGTGTAGCCATTGTTGTTTTGTAAGAGGACGAGTAGAGTCGAGTCGGGATGGGGAACGGGTTGACAACTGAGCAAAAGAACAGGGAGTCATTTGCACAACACAAGAGTCTGACCGGTACACAGAGGAAAACGTTTGGGAATCGAAAACTAAGAAGGAGTCCGACTGATGTGACGTGGAGAAGTCATTTTCAAAGCACTGATGTGACGACTGATGATAGAAATGTAAGTCATTCTGCATTGTAAAAAATATGCCTTGGAATTGAGGGAAGCAAGGTTGCATATCAATGCTAATGTTAGCTTGAACCTCAGGAATTGATGCTAGCTGGAGAATGTAAAGCTACTTCAAGGCAAGGACAAACTTGTGAATTTAACTAAAGAATGATTTATTCTGATGATACGAGTAACAAGGTTGCGTTGGTTAGAGGGCCACGTTCGCTCAAGAGAGAAAAGATAAGGAAAATATATGAAGTTTAAAAAATGACTTACCTTTGTCTACCTATGGCAGTAGCACATGGCTTGATGATGTCATTTATTCTGTGTCATGTGACCTACAGTTTTTTCACTTCCTCTCCTTGTGCTTAATAGGTTTTGGTAGCAGGGTTTTGACCAATACAAAAGACGTATCAACATAAAAGTACTAAGTAGCAAAAAAGGTAAATAAAAAGCCTATTTTAAATGTAATATTTGACATGCAAGTTAATCACCAAGAAGGTCGGACAAATGAAAACGCCATTTTAGAGGGTGCTAGAGATTGATATTTTAAAAACACTTTTTCCACAACTTTATTTACATTTTGTCTAAGTGCAAGTAGTGTTTGTGGTGGGACAGGAAATGTCCTCCAATTCTTGAATGTCCCTTTACATAAACCTGTTTACGGTAATTTACTCTACAAACCTGTGTACGGTAAACTATTTTAAAAACAACAGATACGCTGTAAACCTTGACATTTTCTACCGCAATTTCAACATTTGTTTTACAGTTTGGGCAAACGAACAACTTGGCGACTGGACAGAAGGCGATTGATTCTGAACAACCAAGCAATTTAGCAACTGAGCAAAGGAGTGATTCTGGACAACAGAGCAACAATGCAACAGCTGAGCAGAAGTGTTATGACCCAAAGGACACCACATTTATTTTCGTCGATGGAGAAGACGACCACGATTGTAAGTAGCCAAAGAACCTGAGATTTAATTTCTAATATATCTAACTTCTCATTAACATTTGTTTTTTGTGTTTCTCGTAGTTGAGTGCGATGACTTCAAGTCTCGCAGAGCGAAGATGTCCTGCGGTCATACCGTCACCCCCATGTCTCTCACCAACTGGTGTAAACGGCTGTTGGGTCAGGTAGTGTGTTAGTTAATCTTTTATATTGACATTGATAATAAAATGTGGCAAAAAACAATCTCTTAATTTGTCTTTTTTCAAACCCCAAGGGTGAAATCAGATTTGTGTGTGGCCAACCCGGCTGTGATGTTGAGTGGCCGTATGACGAGGTGTGGAAAATGGCTCTTCTGACCCCCGAAGAAATGGAAAACTTTGAAAGGAAAATGTTCAGTAGAGCTGCTAAAGAATACTTGGACGTCAAATCAGTAAGTATCTAAAGCAGGGGTGTCCAAACTACGGCCCGGGGGCCAAATGCAGCCCTCAGCAAATTCTAAAAGTATAATGACTTAATAAACTTCTGCTTGTCTTATATTGTACTTCTTAAATATATATGTAAAAATATATTACACAGTATTCATGTGTTAATAAGCCACATGTTCAAATAAATTCAGTCAATTAAAGTTGAAAATATGTTTTAACATTAGAGGTTGATAAGAAAAAAGCCCAATTACAAATTCACATAAGAACCTTGAAATCTACCCTTCATATTTCCCCTTATTATAATCAATGTGAAGCTTCTGTTTTAAGGAATGAGCTGCTAACACGATAAAATAAACCCTCTGGAGGGCTGTGAGCTGTTTTTTTCTTACAGTATTTTCAAGTATCAAGAATAATTNCGCCTCTATTGGGAATCCCCAGAGGGAGATTTCCCATCATCTGTTATGCTCAGAAAGATAAGCAAATGTTTTTTAAGGCCTTTTTCCTCATAAAGACACTACACAGTATTTTCTAATGTTTTCTTAACTCAATCATCTGACTAGTTCAAACTGCATTGAAACCTTTTGTTATCATCTTTTGAATGCATGACTTTTACTTGTAACAGAGTATTCCTACACTCTGGTACTTTTACTTAAGTACAAGATGAGTATACTTCTCCCTTCTTCTTGAATTAACAAGAATGCCATCTGCCTCTGGCTCTACATATAAGCATATTAATATTTTGTCGTGTTAACTTAAACACCCTATATCCTAAATAAAGAATGACGTGAAACATACCTATCTTCATGTCCCGCACAATTCTCTTCTTCAGCTGCAGCACGGTGATTCTTTTCAAATCTTCTTCATCCTCGCACAGATCCAGGACCTTCTCGTCTCCTCGGGGGCCATTCACCCTTAGCTGGACTTTCATGTTGGCTCTTGAGTCTTTTCACTGTGAGGAAATTGCAAGAAGTGGGTAACAGCAATTGCAAATGATCCTATTATAAGAATAAAAAAAACACTCCGCCTCACCTGTAACTCTACGTCACGTGACTTCATGGAATTTAAAGCAGGTCAGCCAGTCATGATTGTTTGATAAAGCTTTCAACATGGGAGGCAAACTCTCAGCTCCACGCAGAGAGAGAATAAATGAAAGGCAGTGTATTCGTGACATTTGGACCCATGAAGATGTCTCAGGATTTAATGAAAGATTCGTAGGCTGTGAAGACGAGTTGAGCTCTGGAGAAAGCAGCTGGACCGAAACAAAAGAGAAATGTTACGACCCACAAGACGCCACTTTTACATTTGTGGAGGGAGATGATAATTTAGATTGTAAGTATATTCTCACATTTACCTGATATTTTTGTTATTTTAAACGCCCCTTAACACTGTTTTTATCTGCTTGTGTTGTCTCACAGTTTTGTGTGAGGACTATAAGTCTCTCAGAGCGAAGATGTCCTGCGGCCATGCTGTCACTCCGATGTCTCTCACCATCTGGTGTCGCTATTTGCTGGACAGTGTAAGCTGTTTACACCCCCATTCATACATGCTTTAGCGACTAGCCTACACTTTTCTCACAAAATTGCATAGCGGCAGTGTATGTAGTAAACAGTAATCTTATTTAAGATTTGTAATTGTAATAGTAGGTATAGTTTTTAAAAGATTGATTTTGGTTAATATCAGCGACTAATAGGCTAAAAATAACATTTTATACTTGAATTGTTTATACTTTAAAGGTAACTCAACATGCTTATTGTCAGGTTGTATTTCGGTTTTGTACCGAACATGTATAGCCTACATGCTTTAATGTTAAAAAAACACGTTGTTTGTTATCAAACTGTCTGAAGACACCTGTATTCCCCGTCGGTGTGAAACGCTCCGTTTTGGGGCCTGTCTCTTTAAGAGCCCAGTCTGCTCTAATCGGCTCCAGAGGAAATTAGGTACTTTTCCTCAGGTAGTGGGCGGAGATACTGAGATGGGGGAGGTGTATACAAACAAATGCTGAAAAAGTGAGTTTTTCATTATATGTTCCCTTTAATTTAATTTAATTTTTGTATATATCTTAGGGTGAGTGCAATTTTGTGTGTGGTCAAACTGACTGCGATGTCGAGTGGCCCTTCGAGGAGGTGTGCAAAATGGCCCTCCTGACTGAAGAAGAACTTGAATACTTTGAGAAGACAGTGTTCAGTAACGCTGCCAAGGATTACCTGGGCGTTAAATCAGTAAGTATAACATTGACGGCATTTACAGAGTTGTTCTAAATATTTGTTCACTATCAAAAACATGCCTTTTTCAAGCATAATGTACACTGCCTTAAATTCTTTATTATGTGTATATATTTATATTGTGTATTTAATATTATACTATCGATATATATCCTTCATTATTGATTAATGTGTATATTCACTGTTTTAGTATTTTGTTAATCATCTACTGCTAATATGTTTATCTTTATTGTTTGTATTTAAAAAAAAAAAAAAAAGGGTTTTATTTTTTTATTTTTTTATTCACTGGCAATATCTTATCTATCTGCTGCTGTGATGGAAGATAACAAAAAAAAAATTAGATTAATAAAGTTTATATTATCTTATTCAGAATTTTAAAACAACGACATTTGATTTCTTCATTGAACAGTGTCCTGGTTGCAGTTCTCGTGTGGTAAGAAGTGACCTCCATGACCTCTGTGTCCAATGCCCAGTGTGCACAGCCAGGAGAAGGCGGGGTTATCAATTCTGCTGGCAGTGTTTGAAGAAATGGAAAGGTCCGGCTCCCCGTTCAGACCACTGTGCAAATAGAGACTGCCAGAACCCACTGGACATACTGAGAAACTGCCCAGACATCACCTTTGAGGACGTGGAGGGGGTCTCCGGCTGCCCCTCCATCCGGGCCTGTCCCACCTGTGGTTTGCTGGTGGAGCACAACAGAACCCAATGTAAAAGCGTGTTCTGTGCCCGCTGTAAAGTGGAATTCTGTTTCGTCTGCCTGAAGCTCGCTGAAGAGTGTGTGGATGAGGACGACATATCCTCCCTTTACAGACTTTGTCCCAGTAGCACCGAGGCAGATCTCCGTACCCGTGTCAGAGGACATAACTCCGTGATCTCACTGAAAATAATAATAAATGTAACAGGTACATCATCATAACTGTGTTTGCTCAGACAAACTCATACCTGCTCTCAATAACAGAATATCTTTCTATTTTTACTAAAAATATCTCAACCCATTATTTCTTTCCACAATTGAAATAATGAAATAGTTTATTTTCATTTAAACAAAATGGTGGTTATGAACATATAATAAAATAAAAACTCTTATTATTCAATTCTTTGTTTGTGTTCTTTTTTATTGAGTAGGAGATGAGTGATGATAATGGATGGAGAATTATTGAACTAGTCTTCTTTGATTATGAACACTGTTGTCCTCGCCTCAGTTCATGTTTCCCTGTCTGTACAAGCAACAGGCATTTGGCACCCGCCCTGTGTATGAAAAATAGCTGACGCCTGTATTCTAAGGCTTATTACAGCAGCTGTGTTGAGAGATTACCTCTTTCTTACTTCTGGATATGCAAACAGCAAGGTTGAACAAATGATGTTCTTTGGATAAGGAAACATATGACTAAACCTCAAAGAGTAAATCTTACAAATGCCTTCTGGAGCCTGCTCTCTCTCTAAGAAACATAGGGTAATGTGTTCCTGATTGACTGTTTGATTACCAACTTTTTGCCAATAAAAAGAGCAGGCTCGGGGACAGAACCTCAGCGTTGGTTTGGGCAGAGGCTGTGTGACTACTGTTTCTCAGCACATTTCTTTGTCAATTCTCGTTACTTTACTTGTTTCTTTACATTACTTTTGCGTTACTCAGCAACAGCGTAGCCAAAACTTAAAACGTAGGCCTACATGTGCACACATAACAATTACTATTGCAATAAGGAAGGCACTCACTCAACATCATCACTCTGGGTTCGGGGGTCTCTAGCTACTAGCTTCGTGTTAGCATGTTGCCTGCAGGTGCTTGGAGAGGTTTGATGTTGCTGTGTTTGCAGCCAGCAATGCACCTTACCGTCACATTCCTGTCCTTTCTTCTGACAAATTTAAAATAATGGGCGCTCCACCCCTCGAAAGTTATAGCTGTTGATGTCTCTGACTCTGTCTCAGTCTGCAGCTCAACCCCTTTGACAGCCGCATCTGGACAAGTCGCGCAAATGTTACGAAAATATAAACCTGCGGTGGTAATCCGACTTGAAATATGTAAAATGTTAAAAGTTAGACCTATCTTATCTACCCCTGGAACCAGCTAAACCATTTATAAATGTTTATTATTTACTGTCGTGTCGGGTCACTCATTCACTGGATCAGCGAGCTGCATGAGACACAGACGGGCTGTCAGGAGAGGGAGAGAGGGTGAGGAAAAGATAGGCACATTTATTAAACCCGCCGTGTTATTAACAACCAAGTTACTGTAAACTTCTGAATAACGTAGTAACTACTATAGTCTATTTGTCAAAAAGAGAATCTAGTATTTTTTTCGCGCAATGTTAGTAACTGTAGTGTGATTATTACTGAATGTATAACGCGTTACATTACTCTGTTACGGACAAATGTAATATTATTACAGTAAAGCCGCGTTAAACCCAACTCTGTTAGTAACTTCCATCTTCAGTGTCCGACATCAGTTCAAAGCTCTCCAGTGTAGCCTACTCCTTGTGTTCCAGTTTTCTGATCCAATAATTTTATAACAATGAGTGTGTAACATCATATTACATTTGTTGATTTCACAAATTTGACATGAAAGGGGAAGATATGCATTGAGTTCAAACCGCAAAAACCTTAATAAATACGATGTGATCAAGGTTCAATAGTTGTTTATGATGCATCCTGATGCGATCAAGATTTTATTATGCATAATCTGATGTGATCAAGGTACAGTAATTTCCCGATGCATCATCTGATGTGATCAATGATTTATCATCAAAAACATTGTACCTTGAATACATCATATATTATTTTTTTTACATTTAATCAATTGTGAGTGGTGGTCATTTTAACTGTCCTACACTTTTGTTTAGTTTGAGCTATGCATCATAGTTTATAAACTGATCAGATGTTGTGTATGAAAAATCAGAATCTGAAAACTAGCAGTCAAATTAACTTAGTGGAGTGCGATACTTAATTAAATGTAAATTAAATGTGAAGAGAGGGTTTTTGTTCTTGCAGCACCGCTGAAAATAACAATACAATAATAGTTTAAAATACCTCAGACACAGAGGTGAATATGCACAGCAACAACTCTATTGGTTTAAGGGAGACAGCAAATATAGAGAAAACCATATTCTGAATAAATGACAATAACTTTGAATATGTGTCACTCAAATATACAATACTGGCGACACTTACACTGTGAAAACTCATCCTGGGGTAATGGAGGTGTTGGTGTTTTTATTCACTTGTACCACTTCCATTTAAACAAATTTGAACGTCACACCTTAAAATGGCACAATGCCGCCACATTCTGGTCATTGCATTTACTTGCATTCAAAGTCAAATCAAATCCATTCTTCAATTCTTCTCCTTGGTGATTTTTTGCATAAACCTAATATGTGTCAGAGTGTATCTTATCTAACCAATGCCTTCTGGAGCATGCTCTTTCTGTAAGAAACATAGCTGTCTTCCTGATGGACTGTTTGATTACCAACTTGGTGTTGGTGAAAAGAGCAATTTAGGGGACTAATAGAGCTAATGCAGAAGGCAAATACTAAGTCAAAAACAAGCCTCAGATACATAAACTTACTCTATGGTAAAACAAATTCTGTATTTTCCTTTGGGTGAACACAAGAAATACAAACACAACTTTTGCTTTAGTTTGACTTCCTGAAACCACAGAGTTAAATCAACAGAAGCTGAGTCGCTTTATTTCCTCTGCCACACGGTTATGGTGGTCTGTCTGGGGGCAACACCACTCGCACAACAAAAATAGAAAGACAACCTGTCCTCGTCCAGGCACTCTTCATAACGCTTCAGACAAACAAAACAGAACTTCACCTTACACCGCGGACAGCCAATGTATTTACATCTGCTTTTGTTATGCTCCACAAGCAAACCACAGGTGGGACAGGCCCGGACGGAGGGGCAGCCGGAGACCCCCTTCACGTCCTTAAAGGTGATATCATGGCAGGTGTTCAGTATATCCTGTGACTTACTGATGCAGCCTTCATTTGCACACCGGTCTGGATAGGGAGATGGACCTTTCCATTCCTCCAGACACTGCCAGCAGAATGAAAAGGCCACGTTTGTTTTAGCCGTGCACATCACGCAGCAGACCCTCACGTTGTTTACGTCGCTCCGCACGGCAGAGCACTTGCAGCCGGGACACTGTGAAGGGAAGTTGGAAGAAACATATAATGGATCAAATTCGTTTTCCAAGAACATTTGAGTGTCATTAGTTTAGATCAGGGGTGTCCAAACTTTTTTCACTGAGGGCCACAAACAGAAAAATATACGAAGGGCTGGGCCGTTCACTAGAGGTATATTGCCTTATAAGTTCAGTTGTAAGTTAGCAAACTCAATCCAATGTAGGTAAATTATTCTTGATACTTGAAAATACTGTAAGAAAAAAACAGCTCACAGCCCTCCAGAGGGTTTATTTTATCGTGTTAGCAGCTCATTCCTTAAAACAGAAGCTTCAGATTGATTATAATAAGAGGAAATATGAAGGGTAGATTTCAAGGTTCTTATGTGAATTTGTTTTTGGGCTTTTTTCTTATAAACTTATATGTTAGAATATGTTTTAAACTTTAATTGACTGAAAGTGGGCTTATTAACACATGAACACTACTGTGTAATTTATGTTTACATATATATTTAAGAAGAACAATACAATACAAGCTCAAGTTTCATTTGTGGGCCATATTCCATATGTTTTCAACTTTAATTGACTGAATTTATTTGAAAATNCTACTTTTACTTGAGTAACATTTTGAATGCATGACTTTTACTTGTAACAGAAGTATACTCATCTTGTACTTAAGTAAAAGTACCAGAGTGTAGGAATACTCTGTTACAAGTAAAAGTCATGCATTCAAAATGTTACTCAAGTAAAAGTAGAACAAATAAAATAAGTCATTATCCAGATGGAGTGTTAAGTGTTGATTATATTTCACATCATTAAAGTAAAATAGCAAACAATGTAAATACTCAAGTACAAGTACTTATATTGTACTTAAGTATTGTACTAGAGTAAATGTACTTAGTTACTTTCCACCACTGATTGTTTACAATGTGGACTTTGTTGAGTGTTACTTATACAAGTCTAATATGAGAACTCAACACAGTTTTTACCTATACAAAAATATATGTGTTTGTGTGGAATTAGAGTTTAAGCCAGGCCTAAAGATGATAACAAAAGGTTTCAATGCAGTTTGAACTAGTCAGATGATTGAGTTAAGAAAACATTAGAAAATACTGTGTAGTGTCTTTATGAGGAAAAAGGCCTTAACAAAAACATTTGCTTATCTTTCTGAGCATAACAGATGATGGGAAATCTCCCTCTGGGGATTCCCAATAGAGGCGTGGAAAAGTCTGCATCTAAGGTCAACAAATAAATAAAAAAATGGTCTCTTTATTTATTTTAGGTGATGATATCCGGATGGTGTTCAGAACGGATATTCTTGAGGAATCCTCCCTGCTGTTATCTTACGGAATCAAACACATGAGTACCATCCACACCCTGCTGATGCTGCCCGGAGGCATGATGGGAAGAAGACCATAGACTGGATATATGATGAAACCTGACCATTAATGTTGCCTATTATGATCTAAAAATACACCGAAATATATGTATTTAACTGTAAAATAAAATCTGTCTTTAAACCTCCTCCTTAATGGTTTATTACAATATGTAAGATATGCTCCAATTTAAAGTCTGTTCATGTAATCACTTTTTGTCTTTCTTTCATATTTCTCTGAAAGTCTCTCCAAAGTGAAGACTAGGTGGTTTTCCCCGTTAACTCCAGACAATAGCACGATGAGCTCTTTTACTGTCAATCTGTTGCTATTTTTATTCTAGTCTTTCTTGAGAAAACTCCCCATTGTACATTCTTTTAGACATCAGTGTACCAAGGAGATGCTTTCATTATGATGTGTCAATCAAGGATGATTAAAACCAGGAAATGCCACACCCAGTTATTCTATAATTAGCAGCAGGAAATGTCCTTCTGGGAAATCAATAATTTCTCAGAAGGAATGGGGGGAGAACA